TGCGGCAACAAATACCGCAAACTCGAGTACCTAATACCCGACATTCTCTCACCAACACCCAAATATGGCTCTCTAGCACCAGGACCTGACCACGGCACTCTCACCACCCCACCACAACCACAACCACCAAAGAAGACAGAAAAGGACGTAACCCTAGTAACAGAAGGCGCCCTCCAAAGCAATCATACCATCCAAGTAACCAGCATCGCAAACCACCTGAACCTCTCACGGCCCGTGATTATCCTTCACAAGGCCACAGGGGGTGGATACGCCCAAGCAACAGATAAGAGTCTCTTCGAGAGAACGGGAAATGTGCAGATAGCGAAGCTATTAGGGGCTGATGTGAGGGTGTTGGACTCGGCGACTGTTTCAACATCTTCTACAAGTAAAGAAGAAAAGGAAGAAGAAGAAGAAGAAGACGGAGTCCACTCCATCCTCACGACCCTCCAAAATGAAGGCAAAAATCCCTACTGGATCCCCTCAGGAGCAAGTCTCCACCCACTAGGTGGATTGGGGTACGCAAGATGCGCATTCGAGATTGCATTGCAGGAGAAACAACCGCAATCACTGTCACAACCAGAGGGTTCAAACCTCGGCAGATTCGACTACATCTTTCTCGCCTGCGGCAGCGGCAGCACCCACGGCGGGCTCATCGCCGGTCTGAAACTTCTCGAGAAACAAGAAACCACCACCACCACCACCACCACCACCACCACTTCCCTACCGCCCCGGAAAATCATAGGCATCCTCACATCCCCGACTCGCTCACGCAGCTACCACGAAAACAGAGTATTACAGTTTGCGCGACAAGCGGGAAGACTTATCGGGCTTGAAGATGTGGAGAGGGAGATAACCATGCAGGATGTGCATATTGATGAGCGGTTTGCGGGCACGGCGTATGGAGAAGTGGATGATGCGACGAGGGATATGATGCGGTTGATGGCAAGAGAGGAAGCGGTGTTGTTGGATCCGGTGTATACGGGGAAGGTGGCGAGGGGGATGGTGCATTGGGTGAGGGAGGGGGAGATTTCCAGGGATTGGGTTGCGCGAGGGGGATGGGAAAGGGATGGAGGTAATGTTAAGGTGTTGATGGTACATACGGGGGGACAGTCTGCTTTGAGTGCGTATGCAGATGTTGTGTAGATGTAGATAATTGGAGCCAGCTGGCACATACTTAATGAGGATGGAGTGGAGAGGAATAGGGGTCTACTGTATTGAACGATTGTTGGTTAATGTCACATCGAACGCGCTCATCGAGCGACTGACTAATAAATAAAAATACTGGAGAAAGCGCAAAGACAGCAGTATACATTGGCCTGAGAAAACGAAAGCCACCCTTGGAAGAAGGAACAGTGAAATCAGACACAGACACTATCAGATATGAATAGAGAGAAGACAGGAAAACACCTCGCAATGCGGAGACGGAACTAGCCAGGTCTCCGTTGTCTTCGTACACCGAATTCGTACAAATCGCAAGAAGAAATTTTTAAACAGGATCAAACATCCCATCCTAGAGAATCGAAGAAGATGTAAAGAGCAAAACAGCTGGCATCCCAGTAAACAACACCGTTAACAATCCAGGAACAACACAAAGCCACCAGCAAGTCTTGAAACGCCGCAGAATGCCGTGTCATGCAACGTTAAAAGGTTAAAGAAAAAGAGGACTGTTTGAGAAAGAGAAATTCCGGACATCCCCATGAACCCACTAAACATACTATCGGTCTAGTTGGTCGAGAAATAATTTGGACTATTAGTAGCAAAAGGTTCGATCAAAGCTCATCAGCATGGTCGTCAGCCTCGGCATGGCCGTTGGTGTCTCCGTTCAATTTAGGGTCAGGCGAGTCTGCGTCAGGCAAGCCGTCAGAGTCATCACCGTTGCTCACATCGAGAACCTCAAGCGCTTCATTGGCGTGCGTGTTCTCCATGAGCTCCGGTTCAGGTTCTTGCTCCGGATCCTGATCTTGGTTCGTCAGGTCGGCAAACACATCATCGAGATTCTGGCGAGGACTGCTGTCGAAAGGATCACGGCTGTCCACATCCACTCCAGGAGGCGCGTCTGTGTGGTCTCGAGTATATCGAGGAGAGCTGAAGAGGGACGTGTCTAACCCCTGGTGCGGTAGCGTGGGAGAACGTGGAGGGAACGACGGCGAGTCGGCCGAAACATGAGGTAAGAAAGCAGAGGATCCTGGTGCAAACGCCGGGGTAGAGTCGGTGGCAGGAAGTGAGTAGTTGGCGGAGAAAGGATACGGCGGGTTTTGAGCATCGGCCATTGGCGTCAACGTAGGACCACTGCGGCCCGAATCCGAATTCGAGCCGTCGCCTGGGGGCTGGAGTATGGAAGGCCGACCAGTCTGAGATTCGATCGACTTGCGCTTGGCAAAGTTGGGCTGCTTAGTGCGGAGGTGAGGAGGCAGGTCTTCAGGCCGTTCCACGCCGAGCTGGGCCATGATCTTCTGCTGCTTCGTGGGACGAGGCTTCCGAGTGGAAAGCGACTGTTCCAGGATCGGCGGAGGCTCGGGCGCAACAGGCGCCCATTTGTGGATCTCCTGTCGGAAGAAATTCGTCTCATATGCCAGGAGAACCTCCGCCCCCTCGATTTTCCGCAGATAGAAGATCAACGTGGGAACCTCCTCCGTAGTGGTGCAAGCAGCGTTGGTGAAACTGTGCAAAAAATCCCGGAAGGTTGTGGCTTGGTTGATGATGTTGTCCAAGATCTCCTCCTCGTCGGGTTGGAAAGGCAGACCAGGAATCTCAGCCTGCCATTCCAGGAGATCCTCCAACTTGGGCCGGGCAGCATCGCGAGGAATCTTCTGGCGCCAGTCGCAGATCGGGCACGTGTATTTGTCGAACTCCTTGACCTTGCCCCTTGCGATCTTCAAACACTTGCCGTGGTACCTACACGTAAAGTTAGCATGGGATTCTCCTAAAAAAACAACACCAACAAACTTACCATTCATGACAAACCTCACACTCGATCATCATGCCAGCTTCCGAGTGTCTGCAGATGCAAAATACATCCCGTTTCCGCGATTTTCCACCACCCCACATACTAGGAGTGCTGGTGCTTTCCAGCAAACCATCAGGGGTATTGTCTCGCGATGCCGGTTCCACAGGCGGCCGACAGCGATCTTCCAGATCGAAGCAGTATGAATTGCGCTTCTCGACATACTCCATATGTGACTTCAGGATGTGCAGCGGGGCATTCGCCTTGCCAAACAATTTTTTGCCTTTCCTCATCCAATCCTCATGACGCTTTTGCTCACGCTCCAGGTCAATCGCACCAGTAGGCCGGCTATTCAGCTCCTCCAGAGAATCCATGAGCTCCCGGACTTCCTTGTACTTGGGGCGGTTGCGAAAATCCTGATCCCGGCTCCGGTCATACAGACTCTGGATCCTGCGCTGCGCCTCGCGTTGTTTGGTCAAGATTGCATCTACAGATGCCAGGGTATCAGGGGACACTGGGAACCGGGATGCCTGCGCAGACAAGGCCTCGAGTTGCTGGTAGTGGACGGCTTCTACGGACATCAACTCCTTGGCTTTTGCTTCCCAGGCCTCACCGTGGCGACACAGATCCTTGAAGTGGAGCAGGTGGTCGTTGGTCTCCGATAATCCTAGTTGCTCGCCGGCCTGGATGATCTCCTGACACCCCTTCAAGGTCAGGTACCGATCCCGTTTGCGACGCGCTTCCTCGTTCCATTTCATTTGCCGGAGTATGTGTTCTAGTCCCTCAACCTCGGGTATATCCACGTTGAAATTGCGCGCGGATTCCACCAGATCCTCGACTTCCTGGACCGATCGGATGTTGGGGTTCATGAGGGCAACGTTAACGTCCTGGCGGAATTTCTCGATCTCGCGGGTCTTCTCTTCCAGAGCCGCCATCTGTGGACAGTCGAACGACAGTTTATCAGCCTCTGCAAGAAGGGCGTAGATGTTTTCTACTCTGCGAACTTCACGATCACGTTCTTCCAGCTGCGCAGCTTTAGAAGTCCCCTTGCGCCACGCCTTCTCGTTCTTCCTCCGGTTCTGCTGCTTCCGGGTAATGTAATTGGTTGCTTCTTCAACCCATTTATCGCAACGCTGGACGAAAGCCGCGAGATCTTGGAGACCAGGCAAATGGTATGGGATTTTCTCACCTTCATTAAGTAGGTTATGAAGGACCTTCAATTGGGGCTTCGGCTCGTCTTCCAGCATTTTGTCGAGCTTTTCTCCCCAGGCCTCCGGGATCCTGGCGCGTTCCTGGACCTTCAGTACCAAGGCCTTCAAGGCATCATCACCTATTCGATAGCGCAGCGTGTGGTCCGGGCCAGTTAACCTTTGTGTTAGCGGTTCGCCACAGCAATCATACGTTTCCACGTGGGGCAGGCACACTGTCTTCCCAGTCTTATGGCATCGGAACTGCGTTAGATAAGTATAGGCCTTGCAATACTGGCACTGATAATCATCCTCGGGCAGGTCTTCCTCCTCAACCACAAACTTGAGTTGACAATTCCCAGTAGCTGCAGGGTCTTCAGTATACAGGGTGCAGTTGTGCGGAGCCAGCTCCCGATGCCGGGTGGCGAATATCGCTCGATCACTCAATTCCCGTGCGCAGGTACGCTGGAGTGCAGGCGCCAACCACTTGGCCGTGGTGATAGATGAATCACGAGCTGCAGCCGTCAAAAGGAGCTCGTCATGGGAGAAGCACGGGTGTCGACGGAAATCTTGGAGGCGCTGCACCCCCATAGCACCCCAGGGTTCCCAATCTGCGGGCGCAAAGTTGACAGCCTCGTTAAAGTTGAAGCCATGGTTGAACCCGGCATGGTATGCTTGCGGGAAGGTGATCACAAACTGACCCGCCCGTTGATCCAATGCATACACCCGTACACCGGCCTTTCTTAGCTGATCCGGGGGCATTAGCGTGACTAACTGGAACAGAAGGTCAGGTTGGCCCTCGAACAGCTCCGGCACCGCCTGTCGCATGGCTTCCTCGAACGCCTCGGCATCCGCCCCAGGAATTCCGTACCACGTCTTGGTGGCACCAAAATGCTGGTAATTAGCCGAATAAGCATAATGGTCTTCATTGTGCCAGCAGAACGTCGAGAAGCACATGCCAACATAAACCCAAGGGACGGTCATGCCGGAGATGTCAGACTTGATATGGCGGAACAGGGAGTCTCCGTGGAAAGGCATAACGTTCAGATTCCAAGGATCAACCGAGTAGGGATCCAGCGGATTCCGTTCAATGGTGGGAAAGCCACTTCCATGGGTAGTTGAATGGATATCCGCACCGTACTCGACCTCGACCGTCTCCGTCAAGCTCTCAACCAGTCGCCAGAACTCACGCTCAACATCATCCTCAGATTCCCGTCGGTGAGTATTGAGCACGGGGTCAAAAGGCATCTTGGAGGCGAAGTAGTTTTTCTTGAAGTTGTTCGCCTTCTCCTGGAACTGCTTGAGCGAATACACGCCGCCCTCTTCGAAGCCAAATTCTCCCGTACCGACCAGGCATTTCGGGCAATGCCAGTCATACTCAGGGACCGTGGTCAGGGGTGGATCGAGACAAGATTTGTGGTACCCATGATCACAACTATCGCACACGAGGATCGACGAGCGTTCCTCCGACTTGCCACAAATCTCGCATTTCTGGCTGCAGTTAGCACCGAGATAATTCTATAATGGAGGATATCATACATCGCCAGTCTTCCGGTGGTCGCTCTTGCGTTGCCGCGGCGGCGCAGGACGCAGGAGGCTCATATGCGAACCCGAGACCGTGGGCAGGGGTGCATCTGATCAAAAGTGGTTAGACAGTGAAAATGTTATGAGAAAATAGACAACCTACCCTTGCGAAGTCGCTTGCTCCGTCGACCATTGGCATCAACTTCACCGTTCTCAGCGTGCGATGCACTCTCGTGGCTGATCGCGCGCTTCATTGGCGGAACCGCATGGCCATTGGAAGCGGCGCTTGGGTTGGCCGGATGCTCAGCGACACTCTTCGGAGTGAGAGAGCCATTGTCTGCTTCGCGCTTCACGGCGGGGCCACTATTCACAGCCACAAAAGAGGGTGACCGATTGACAGCGGTGAAGCCACTCGAGCCGGCGTTCACCGGTGTGAATCCAGACGCAATCGGCCGAGCAGGCTCGACGGGCGGTGTGGGCTTCTCTGGAGTGGCCTCGACCTCCTTTGCTGCACTTGGAGGCGCAACTGGATTGCTCGGTGCGGGTTGAGGTGTGGCCGATGGCGTAGCGCTGTCAAGTGATACGGGCTTTTTGGGCATGGGGGAGTGGTTCGGGGACGGTGTGTAAGGACCGCCCTGTTCCAGCTCCAATTGTTGCTGAACCCCGGGTTTGGCCACACGCAGATACTCTTCGTATGGCTGGAGCCATCTTTGATATGAATTCTTGAGCGAGGTGGAGAGGGAGGACATGATTTTGCCACTGTAGCCCAGGTCGCGCCCAATCTCGGCCCATTTCTTCATCTTGCAGACTTGATCAAAGCCACCGCGGACCTCCACCGCCTTTTTCAATTTGTATAGATCCAGCGGACGTTTGTCGACGCTCGGAAATCGGTTGAGGTTGGTGCCATGTTGCTTGTGAAACTTGGCCAATTGATCGAGGTAGTTCAAGTTTGCACGAGTTCCTGAGTCCGCGTCAGAACTGGGCTGCGGAGCTCCACCGGCAGCTTGCTTGGCTGAGCGCGGGGGCATACCTCCTTCAACCGAGTTGAGCTCTTGTCGACGGGTTTTGAAATGGAATCGCTAGAAAACGCGTTGGTCAGCCTTATTTAGCCCCCCCACAGGATATTCCAGACTGGAGTCACTGCGGCTCTGTGTTTGCTCCGCACTAAGCAAACAAGACCGCAGGAACACTCGCATACCTCTGTATCTATAGCAAACGACGGTTGCCAGTTCTCGGGCGGAATGATCCGGCAAATTCCATATTTCTTCCCCTCCGGCGCGATCTTGCGGATGTATGCCTCGGGATCCTTGAACTCCTCCTCTGTCGGGCGAAAGGTCGGGGCCTCTTGTAATCCATGGGGACGCACTCGTGTAGTCGGTTCGCGAGGGGCATTGGGTTGTCCACGGCGCTCGACGGTGGACAAGTCGAGGGGTTCGGACCTGCGAGCGCTCAAGGGAACATTATGAGAATGCGATGGGTGAGTGCTGGATGATCGAGTAGGTTGGCGACTCGTTGAAGGCTGCAAGCCTGTAGAGGCGCCTCCAGCAGAGGCCGGAGCCACCATTTCTTAGGGGCGACAATGGAATCGAGGCGAGAGAGAATTTGCGCGTGGTTTACCGCGGACGGAAGGGGGCCAGCATCCGATGCGAAAAACACATGGAGGAGGGCCAGATCAACTAAGAAATGGAGTTTAGTGTCGAGAACCGACGATAAGACAGCTGGTGAGGTAGGACGAAGGAAGAAGAAGAAATAGAAGAAGAAGGTAGGGCCGAAGGATGGGGGGGGGGGGGAGAGGAGGGATGGGAAGATAGCGAGGGAGGTGAAATTGATGATGATAGAGCAAAAGGGCCGCCAGCCAGCAGATGGACTGTCACAGGGCAGGCCGAGATGAACTCGGGAGGGCTAGTGTGGAGAATCTCGGAACAGGAACAAGGATTGGAAGAAGAGTAACGTGCTCACCCCAAGTAAAAGAAGAGAAAGCCGGTCAGCAGAGAGTGGGAGGAGGGAAGAAGAGGGATGAGAAGAGAAGGGATCGGGGGGGAGGATGGAATTCAAGAGTCCCGTAGCAGGGGTGTTTTCCGTAGGGTAGGGAAATAGTAGTAGGGAAGTAGGAGGTTTAGTTTAGAAAATGGGGGTTGAGATTTAGCAGTCGTGACGATTGGAGGGAATTGACCGTAGCCGGAAGTAGTCCTAGTATGGTAGTTCGCAGGGAAGCCACTTGGAGCCAAACCAAGTCGTAGTTGATGGGGCACAGCTTGGGCTTGGAGCTGACTAAATGACAATCATAGATGAGAATGATCGTCTAGATAGTCAGCCTAGTCTGGTTATCGAAGTGTAAGTAAGTAAGTAGTAGATAGATAGGAAGTGGTATCCAGAAGGAAGTTGTTCCTATCCACAACTTTCCCCCGTCCCGTCAGACCTGGACTGGAGAAAAGAGGACCACCACCCCAAGTGGATCGGCAACTGAAGAAAAACAATCAGATCCCGAATCCGTCTGGAGTAAAATAAGAAGGAATGGATGGAACGGAAACTAGAGGAAATATGCTAAGGGGAAGAAGGTGTGCAGAAAAAGGGAAAAAGATAGGAGAGGGAAAATAAAAAGGATAAATTGAGACAAATGGAAGGGGAAAAAAAAGCAAATGGGTGAGAAAAAAAAAAAAGGAACGTACTTCGTAGGAATTTTAGAAGCAGCAGCAAGTCAAGCCAAGTCCATCCGTCAGAGAGACAGCGAGAAATGGAAATCGTCCTCGATCCATGATTTGCATCTGGATTGTCGGGCCTCAGGCAGCAAAAGAAAAAAGGGTAGCGAATACAACAAAAGCGGTAATCAGACCTCCCCAAACAGGATAGGCTCTGTTACCGTATGGCGGTATGGAAACGGGAAAGATACCAGCTGGACTCCATTCCATCCACTTTTTGCCCGCAAACGGTGATGTAACGACTTTCGACGACCTCGGAAGAAGGGAAACTTTCCTGCCTTTTCATTTTCCAATATCCCCAAACTCAATACCATCTTTTCTTTCTTGAATTAACACATCTTTCCTAGCTAGTACCTACCTTATTATTACTACTCCTATCTTAGTACTAGTCTCATAACTGCTCTATACACAGCTCATTTCCATGGTAGAAGGTTTGAGAGATTATAGTATATCACATGGGTAAAATGAAGAAATAGTAGAACACTGCGTCAACCCAATGGCACGATTGTTTATTAATTATGGCATTAACTACTCGGTCAGTATAGAGTACAAAAGCTCCCACATACATTTGAGTGAAGCTCAGCTCCACCGTCTTATTCTACTGCAGGAGATGGAAGTTTCGATTAGAAACAACAAAAAAACTAAGAAAGATAACAGAAAAGGCTGGACAAAAGGAAACAACGCATGGCATGTATAAGCAAAAAAGAAAAAAGAAGAACATTATTAAGTAAGAGAATTAAAATTCGCACGCCATCGGGGTTTGAGGGTCCAAAAAGTCCCTTCGGATGGAGAAAACCCAAGGGTAAGACACAAGAAGGTATAGATGGGTATGGGGGCGGTAAATTCATGACCACATAATCCTTGATCTTACAGGGGAAATTGAACGGAGACAGCCGGGTTGCTTAGCTCAACCATATCAAGGCTTTATCCTCACGTCGTGGGATTATCTTGCCTACAACAAGAGGTCCGTCCCGTCTACATTGGCATTAGCAAAGTCTATCGGGAGGAGCAGATGGCAATAAGAGCCTCTGGAGAAATTGCTGAGACTCTAGCCGAGTCTCTGATCTCTGGATGGGATGTCTGAAGGAGGGACTCAGGTATGATACGCATTCCTGAGTGTGACACGTCAACCGTGGTCCGGAACCGACCACAAAATATCTCGATCCAGAGGGGGTAGTCTAGGTATAAAGGGCACACAGACTTAAGTAACAGAATGCGAATAATAATACAATATTAAACCCCATTAAAACCCATTGACGGGGAACTCCATCGGGCAGGCCGTCTCCCTACTTACAGAGTACACTACTACTACTACTACTACTAACTACTGGAGACGTACTGCTATCCCTTGGGCTGGCAATAATAGCATCTGGCTAGACAATGGAATCATGCAATGCTCACTTCCCTAGCCCCGATCATGCCCAGTTTAGATCACATGCGCCCACCATCTTACGGGTCGAGCTTTTCCGGACTTCGGGGACCCAGTCCGTACGGTCCGCAGGAATGCGGGTGAAAATGGGATAGTCTGTCTGTCTGGGCTGGGTGGGATGGGGAGGAACGCCCCTCTCCCCCCCGATTGTATCGATTGTTATCCCTTGTGCTTCCTCGTCGTTGCCGAGTATGCATTCATTCATTTGGCTGTGGCTCATATTGCCGAGCAGATGTCAAGCATGATTGTCAATCAGCTGCAGCGTCGTCTGCAGTACTTATGTCAAGCTGTAGTGCTACTTTGCACCCGGCTAATTAGACGTTCGATGCTCACCATCCTGTAGAATTTCTAGATCCGCTAGTTTTTCTTTTTTTTCTCTTGGCCCTCTTTTGTTCCATTTCCGCGTCGTCTCCTTTGTCCGCTTTGCTCCGTACTGATCCCTGGCAGTGTCATGCAATTGCCAAATGGGGTTGTTGATGGGGACGTGGCAACCCCTTCATTGCCGACCATCATTGCCATGAGTGGTTGAGCCTCACTCGGCTGCTGTCCAAGCTGAGGAGGTCAAGCTTTTATCACTGCATTAACAGGCGAGCAAGATGGTGTCGACAGACTGACCACAGCAGTCATGACGAGCGAGCACATGGTTCAAAAAATCATCTGCAGGTCATCGGGCGCAATAAGCAAAAGGAAAAGAGTACATACTCCGTAGATGCTGCTGCGCATATTGAGACATTTGAGTCCGAGCAGCGCTCAGTATTCTGGAATGTCATGTGACCCAGGGGATTCTTGCTGGAGCAACAGCTGATCGATCGACCAAATCCGCGTAGATCTTTGAACGCCAAACTGATCTAGATCGCAAGCATTGCCATACGCCCAGTTCTTGCCGAAACGCCTCGTTCTCCTCCATCTCTGCTTCATAGTACAGATGGTATGCGTCATTAGTCAATACTGCACCGTACTCGATCAGCTCAAGTACTAGAACGAGACTTTTGTTTATCTGCTGCAATGGATGATGCAGAGGTTGATCATACTAAACCAATCCCGGCCTACTACTGCTGTTATCTGCTGCGCTCGACCAAACAGCGCACCTCCCTGTATATTGGCTCCACTCCACACCCTGCCAGGCGACTTGCGCAGCACAATGGGGAGTCTAAAGGTGGCGCTCGCAAAACAGCCAAGGATGACAAAAGACCGTGGGAGATGGTCTTGCTCGTTGAGGGCTTTACGAGCCGCGTTGGCGCGTTGCAATTCGAGTAAGCATCTATGAACACATTATCGCGCTCTTATTACGCTGTAGATCTGATAGCATTGTAGGTGGGCATGGCAGAACCCAAGGATGTCTTCGCAGCACCCGGCAAATCGCCACCAGTTCGACCTAGAAACTGGCGATGTGGCAGGCACCTCAGGGGTTCAGCCCAGTACCGAGGCCGGCAAGGCCAAGCATCGAGGTCGTGGCTCCCGGAGATCATTGAAGGCCCATTTAGAAGATTTGCATCTTTTCTTACGTTCGACCTATTTTTCGAAATGGCCACTGAGGTTACGATTCTTCAACAGAGACGTCTACCAATTGTGGACGACTTGGTGCGACCGCGTTGATGCCTTGCTTCCCGAGCATGTCCGGACCATTTTAGATGGGGACTGTCCTAAGGACCACCTGTCATGGGCTGACGAGCCGAGAGTCGGAAGCGTTGAACATATCAAGGTCGATTACAGTGATATCTATGACTACGTAGAGAAGTCCCATTTCTTGCTGGATGATCCCAGCGATTTGCGTTGCAAAATATGTCAAGCAAAGATCGCCCTCAGTGAAGAACTGGCTCTAGTCTGCCCCCGGGCGAGCTGCTACTGCATCAGCCATCTATTGTGTCTGTCATCCAGGTTTCTGGACCACGCCGAGGAGCCCGAGCAGCTCGTTCCGATTGATGGAATTTGTCCTCTATGTAATAAGGTCATCCAATGGTCAACAATGATGCAGGAACTGAGCCTCAGAACTCGAGGACATAATGAGTTTCGTGCCATTCTGCGCAAGGCAAAACGAGGCCGTGCAAAGGCGCATGGTTCTGTCCATGAAGCAAGCGCCCCTGATGGAGTAGCCAGCGCCGTCGAAAACCCAGGCAGCCGAGCTGCTTGCGTCGAGAGTGCGTCAGTTGGCGTCAGCGATAGTCTCGATGTGGATAATCATGACGACGCCAGTTTGGATGAGAATTGGACGGAGTCGTTGGATCTGGATCCGAATCCCGATGAACTCTTGAACCGCCCAAAGGATCATAAGATGGAGTCGTCTAGGGTGGAAATCATCATAGACGACAGTGACTGCGAAGAGATGGAGGATTTGGGATGATTCTCCTATTTGCTTCGCAGGTTTTCTCACTATCACTTCTTTCGAGAAGTTAAACAGCAATTGACACGAATCGCTTCAGTGGCCCGATGGCGTCCAAGCGAGCTATGCAGTCCACCACGCTCTTCTCAATGTCCACCGAAACAGCTTCAAATGACCTGCCAGCATCGATTACGCGAATGTCACCGCTGCGTTGGACGCGAAAGATGGTTTGGAACAGTTCCCGCACTCGGCTTTGCATAGTCTCATTCTCATAGCGTTCGGCACCGAACCCCCCGCGCTTGGCCGCTTCGTCTGGGGCGATACTCAGGAAAAGGCATAGGTCAGGCTGGGGCAGGCCGATCTCCGGGGTCCAAGCCCACTCCAGGGACAAGGTGGGATTGGCCTTGGCGGCCGAGTACACGGCACCGGAATAGGAGTAGCGGTCCACGATGACGGTGATGCCCGCTGCTATATCCTCCTCAATAGCCCGAGCAATCTCCCAACGATTGGCGGAGAAGAGGAGATGGATGGAGTGGTCGTCCAACTGCGACTGGCCACGTAGATAGCCATCGATGAGCTTTCCAATGGGAGTGGTTCGGTCTGCGGAGGGTGTGGATTAGAGCGATGTTCACGAGGACAATCAAAAAAGGGAGGGGAGCTACCTGGGAAGCGAATGTACTTGACAGAATGGCCTAAATCTTGTAGTTTCTGGTGTAGAGACTCGCATTGACTGGACTTGCCCGCGCGGTCCAACCCCTCGACCACAATGAGAGCCCCGCGTCGCGCGGCAGGAGCTTGTGCTGCCATATTGTGCAGTGTGCAGGGGGATCAATTGACAACTGGAGAGTTTCACAAGGCGGAAATATTATGGAAGAGCCTCAGGGAAACTCAATTTGCTGTCTGTAAATCAGCTGGAATAGATGACAAGGAGCAGAGGTGGCCGGCAATAGAGAGAGATGAAAGTGGCTCGACGCGCGGGTCGCGAGGAGCTGGAGGGGATATTCCCCATTTGGGAATGGCGTCCTTACCGATTGACTCCATCGGATGATTATTTGGCGATGTATTTTTCAGTCTGTAATGTGACTCAGAACAGCGATATTTTTCGTTTACAGTACAATCAATACCAGATACATTTATTCATCACCCGGCTGCCAAATTCTGGGATAATTCCAGCCAGAGACTGGGGATACAGCCAATATCAAACCCACCATCTATCGATCTACTACACAGTACTACAAAGTACTACTAGTGGGGAAAGGCAGCACATTTTCACCGGCACGCGCCGCGCTCATCTTCTCCAACAACGGCCGGATTCTCTCTGCCTCTCTCCACCATCCCCATCCCTTCGTCAACCCTCCACTCCTCAGGGTCGCCATGGGCTCAGAGTCTTCCCCACAGCCATCGAATGAGATGCTCTCCTTCCATGTTACGGCCTCCGTCCTGACTCCCCGACTGGGAAGACTGGCCTTTGCCGGCAGAAAACCCATCTCCACCCCACATTACATCCCTCTGGCCTCCCGAGGCGTCGTTCCGCATATTGCCCATGATGTGCTGCGTGATCACACAGACATCGGCAGTCTATATGTCGGTCTCGAAGATTGTATGCCCTCCCAGCCACCCTCTCTCCTTATCCGGAGGTCGAATCCTCGCTGACCCGAATGCCCATTGGGGCCCAGATCAGTCGTAGAAAGACAAAGCCAAAAACATCCGCCACCGGTCTATACCATTCCCACCGCGCAAGATGAATCGGCCTTGCGCAAGTTCGTCGCTCTGCCCGATGACCTCCTCTTGATCATGGGCGCACGTCGGGAGCCCCCGATCAAATGCCCCCCGGCCAACACGCCAAACTCCGTCGCCATTTACACCTCCGTTGGGTTCAGACAGCTCGAAGCTACCCAGTACGTCGACGCCGTGCAGAAGCTCAGCCCGGATATCGTCGTCGGACTGGCAGATCTTGTGCTTGGACACACCCCTGGCAACAAGAGACGCGGCAAGATGGTGGATCGAACCCACGCTTTCACTACGCATGCCACTGGATTGCTCTACGGCAGCACAGTGCCCGAGGAGAACCGATCAAAGTCAGCCTACTTCGCTCCTGTCCTCCCTCTCGAAAACGCCCAGCAGTCAATCTACATGGACGACCTCGAGACCGAGCTCAGACCATACATCTCCGGCCTGGCACTCTACGAATCGGCTTCCCTATCAGCCATCTCCGAACCGCTCGGAGACCTCCCCCGCCTCCTCTACAGCGCACCCGCGACTCCACACGATATCCTCCGCGACGTTTCCCTCGGAGCAGATCTCCTCACCATCCCCTTCATGGGTGTCTGCTCTGACGCCGGCATCGCCCTGGATTTCACCTTCCCTTCACCCAACACCCCCAGGACCGTCACCCAACCTCATGACCTCGCCTTCGACCTGTGGTCCCCGTCTCACACAACCGACACCTCCCCTCTCTCCAAATCATGCGAATGCTACACTTGCCGCAATCACCACCGCGCATACATCCATCACCTCCTGACCGCCAAGGAAATGCTCGCCTGGACACTTCTCCAAGTCCACAACCACCATGTAATGGATACTTTCTTCGCTGCCATCCGCGAAAGCATTTCCCGGGGTACCTTCGAAGCCGACACTCAAACCTTCCAACGCACTTACGTCTCCGAACTACCCAAGCCTACCGGCCAGGGTCCTCGGTATGTACATATATATACATCCTATTCCCCGAATTTCATAACCACACCCGCATCCCATAACTGACAACTGATCGCTATATAGACTCCGCGGCTACCAACTCCCCGCGTCTGGGCCCAACCAACCCCGCCGTAATGCCCGCGCATACGGTAAACTCGACGACGCAATGGAGAAGTTCGCCGAGTCGCAGTCTTCTCTGGCGACGCCGGATACAGGCGCCGAGGGGCTTGAGGAGCATGGATTTGGGATGAAGGAGGTGTCATAGTAGCTTGGTCGGTTTATAGATAGCTAGATGCATGGATGCATGGATACATGAATGCAGACTAGAGATAGTTATGGCATAGCATAGCGTGGGTTTGTGGATGATGAATGATTAATTGAACGAAGAGTTATATTACCGTTTCCCCCACAAGGCCCTTGAATGTAATAGTTCAGACTTATTAAATTGCAGACTCTCTCTATTTTCATTTCAACCCATGATGCAAATACATACATACATACATAGTTCCCCTCCACACCACCGAACATAGTCATAGTACTTCATGTCCTTTCCCCATAGGTAGAGTTAGAGTTTATTTGAAAGAAGTATTCAATTATCAAAGAAACAGACCCCTCCCCATTTGTATAGTACTGTGCTTAACTTACTGTAAATCCAGATAAACCAAACCCATCACCCCGCGCACCACCCAGACCAAGCCAGTGGCCAGGAGTAGTCATACTAGTCGGGTTAATACGTCCATCCATTGACCTGTTCCATCCAAAACAAAATCACTGAGAGTTCGCCAACTCGCGCCACATCCACTTCTTCTCATCCTCCTCTTCCTCCGAGCCAGGTTCCGTGCCGGCGCCGAATTCCTGACCCACGACACAGACAAGCCAGACATCGTTCTTAGTGTCGTCCAGGAAGCGCTCTGTCGCCGAGTTCTTGGGGTAGATGCGGCGCCATTCATCCCAGATGCGATAGGCTTCGTCGCCCCAGGCGCGGAAACTGACTTCCTCGATAATGGTGGGGGTGACGATTTCCTTGCCGCGGAAGACACCCCAGGTGACGGCATTGACGTTGGCCGGATTAATGTCAATCGGGTCCGGGTCGTCGGTGTTGGGGCCGGGGAGGGAGGACTCGAAATCGCCCTTGACGTTGGTGGCGAACCAGGCAAGCTTTTCGTGGCCGTGTTTCTGGAGAAGGGGCTTGAGGACGGTGAGGTAGTCTTTGGTGGGGCAGAAGAATTCCACGAAGGGCTTTTGGAAGACGAAGCCTTCTCCCGGTGGGCCCCAGCCGAAGACGGGGTCGTCGCTGCGCACGCCGTTGATGGCGGGTTGCGAGGCCAGAGTCCACCAGCCTTTCTTGTCGATTAGGGTTAGGAGCTCGGGTTGGATGATGGCTGTTTCGGCGTTAAGGCCGTTGCTGTCCTCTTCGGCGCCTCCTTCGGACCAGGGCACCATGTGGAGCTCGCCGGAGACGTGGCGGCGGAATAGGGTGCTGATGTCTTCGCGGGTGACCGGGTAGCCCCAGATGCGCCGGGCAGTGGCAGCGGAAACGTGCAGCGAGGGACCGTAGCCGTCGATCTCACCGAAAGCGGGTGAGCGCGCATCACCCCAACGTCCGTTGGGGAAGTCATCCCATGTGGCTTCTCTGCCGAGGGCACCGAGACCTTCGGAGATCTGGAGAGTTGTGCTGCGGTCCGGCGGCATGGCGGGAAGGCCGGCGCTCAAGGCGGAGGCCTCATGTGTTATGGAATCTTTCGAAGAGGGTTCGGAGATCTGTACCTTGTCGACGATGACACGGTTGTGAGGGATGGAGCTGACCGATGAGCGGCGGCTGGCCAGGGTGCGGATGGGAGCGCCATTCGGGGCAATGTACGACGAAGAATCCAGAGCAGACAAGTTACCTCCATCGGCCAAGGCATCGGAGTCATCTATTTCTGTGTAGGGGGGAATGAGTTCGCAGCGCTCGAGGATGAAGGACACCGTCTTCTCCAGGTTCAGAGTGTAGAAGTGGAATCCGCGGAGACCAGGAGAGACAAGATCGCGGATGCCATGCACAAGATCACTGATGATGTCCACACCGATGCGCTTCACGGCATCGTCATCATGCTTCACTTCCTCCAGCTTCGATAGGACGTGCGGGGGGATCTTGACATGACTGAGCTTCGTGACTCTCGTCAGGATCTTGTAACTGTGGATGGGCATCAGACCAGGGACGATGGGAATGGTCTTGAAAACGCCAGATTCATGGTTCCTTAGCATAGTCTCAAATTTGGTGTATGCTTCCAGGTCGTAGGTCAACTGAGTCATGATGAAATCCGCGCCGGCCTGCGTCTTCTCGATCAAGAAGGGCAGGTCCCTGGCCGGATCCTGACCATCCTGGAAATTATCGGCGGGGTGACCCTCGGGATACGCAGCAACACCGATGCAGAAGTAGTCGCCATACTGCTTGCGGATGTAGCGCACCAAGTCGACGGCAAATGTAAAGTCCTTGTTGCTGTCATCCTCGCCGTGCATGTTGTATTCTTCGCTCCGGGGCGGGTCACCGCGCAAGGCCAAGATGTTTCTGATTCCAAGCACCTTTGCTTCCTCCAGGGCTTCGTCCACCAAGGCGCGACTCATGTTCGTGCAAGTAAGGTGTAGACATGTCGTCAGCTGTAGTTGGCGCTGACAGATCTCCGCCAGCTCCAGAGATCTCGCGGCGGTGCTTCCTCCAGCGCCCCAAGTGACTGTCACGAACAACGGGCGCAAAGCCTGAGCCATACGCTCCAACCGCGCTTGTAAATTGGCAAAACCCTAGATAGACCGCGAGCATCTTGTTAGCGACCGATAGATAATCCCAGATTGAGTCACTCCAGTGCGGGGAGTTGTAGAGGCTTGCCCCACCATCTTTGTCTTGGGAGGGAAAAACTCCAGAGAAAAGTAATTGGCGTCTGGCGGCAAAGCCGCGATCTTGTCCGTGATCTTCTCCATGATGAGCCCGGTCTCAGCAGCAGCAGAAACAGCGACACGATGACGGACGGAGGAGAGAGAGTGGAAGGCGAGGAAAGAAGGCGTGAAGGACGGAGGTGGGGAAGAACAAGACTTCCTCCCACCGATGGAGCCTCCGGAAAAGGCACCATGACGAACTGCCGACCCCATCGCTGCCTGCAAGATTCTCCTCATGAAATTGCCCCCAATTATTATGATCCCGGCCGATCGGTGGAACGACCTGCTGCTATAGAGTCCTGAACAATCATGTCGCCGATCGGAGAGGAGATATCTGGTGCTTAGTATCACCCGGTCCCTTCTCTCCAACTGCCCTCTATCGTTCGCGTCTAAAATGCTCGGGTAGTACTTGTCCACGACTTGCAGAAGAGAATCTTCTTCCCTGACATTGTCCCATCGGCTTGATCGACGACTCCCTGGGCTGGTGAGAAAGATTGGACATCAGGGACCGGGTAATTGCATGTTCTGAACGAACATTTGCATGCCAATCCCGATCGTACATTCGGTCAACTGCCCCTTGTTACTGCGTATAGTTTAATTTATTTGCCTTGCAAACACAGCAAACACACTCACCATATCTCCGATGGTCTCGCGATATCGGCTTCACAAACCACCAGTTGATTGGACTAAGTATAATTGCTAAATACATCACCATTAGCTCTGGGACGTCCTCAATTGGTACCAGACCTGGAACTGCCTCTAAGTTCCCCAGTTCCTTTCAGACACAAGTCACTCTTCGAGCCGTCCAACGAAATGTCACTACCGCGCTCTATCCTCCAAACCTTCCGTCTCATCTCACAGCGCAAACCCTCTCCCCACCGTCTCTTCTCAACACCTCCTTCTCCCCCACCGCCCTCCGCAAAAGACGTCCGGTCGCGTCTACACAGACTAAATGATCGTCTTCCAGCTTCGGTCCGCCCCTATACCACACCTCTCCTCGGAGCTCCCGCAACGCACATCACATCCTTCCTCATCCTACACGAGATCACCGCCGTTATAAGTTTATTCGGATTGGTGGCTGCCTTTCATTACAACAATGGACTGCTCCCGGACATGTCTTCCAACCAATTGTTCGAAGAGCAGACACAGAAATTTGGGCGTTGGCTGCGGAAGAAAGGATGGGTTGAGGAGGTAGATGTTGATACAGTCGCGGAGGAGTATGGAGGGGATGGTGCACACCACCATGGGGAGGCGGAGCGGTCAGCGTTGTCAGTCCAGGGGGAACGGGAGGGAGTGAGGTTGATTTTGGAGTTTGCGACGGCCTATCTTATTACCAAGGCTTTGATGCCGGTCCGGATTGCGGTGAGTGTTTGGGCTACCCCGTGGTTTTCCAGGGCTGTGCTTTCTCCATTGGGGAGGGGTGCCAGAGGGATGTTTGGGAGAAGGTGATGTGTATAGTATTATATGATTTCATAATTTGTACAGAGTACTACTAGCGTGGCATATAGATCCTGGATATATTTTGTATATTTGTATTTCTAGTTCTCATGAGATCTTGGAGTTTTATATCACCCGAGGTACTCTACATCTCAACTCGTAGCGGAATGCAGGCGCTCAGGCGCGACATTGGCCGGAATAATTTAGGCCTTCTCGTAGATCCAGTCGAACTGGGAGTGCTTCCACTGCTGGAGCTCGCTGGGGGAGAACCAGAGGGCAATCTCCTTCTGGGCGTTCTCGACGGAGTCGGAACCGTGGCAGACGTTGCGGCCGACGTCCTATTCAACTGTGAGTGAGATGTCTCGATCATGATGGGTTCAGGGTCCTTACGATGGCGTAGTCACCACGGATGGTGCCGGGGGCGGAGGCAAGGGGGTTGGTGGCACCGAGGATGGCTTTCAAATGATCAGTATACGACGATAGATGCAAGTTTTAGCAGAGGAACTTACTGCGGCCGGTCTTGACGGCGTCACGGCCCTCCCAGACCATGGCGCAGATGGGGCCAGAGAGCATGTCTAACAGGCAAGATTAGTATGCTGGTATGCGTCAATGTGCAACATCTGGGAGCTACATACAGGAGACGAGACCGGGGAAGAAGGGCTTCTCCTTGAGGTTAGCGTAGTGCTTCTCGAGGTGCTCACGGCCGGGGGAGCAGAGCTTCAGAGCAACGAGCTTGAAGCTGGGATAACGTCAGTATCTATGTTTTTTGAATTGCAATGGATGGGGAGTACGAACCCACGGTTCTCGAAGCGAGAGATGATGGGGCCAACGAGTCCGCGCTGGTAGGGCAGGGTCAGTACGGGTTTAATTCCGGAGATGCCGCAGATGCATCACAGAGCGATGAGTCGAGGCTTTGAATCAGTCATACCTGGACACCGTCGGGCTTGATGGCAATGAAGCTATATCAATTGGTTAGCTTTCATTAATGCAATGAGGGGTTGACGAGGATCCAAAAAAGGACTCCCTAAGGACCTCCAGAGAGGCTGACTGAGAGAGACCGAGAGAGAAAAGAGCAATGGAGGGGTAGAGGGGTAAAAGGAGGGGAGGAATGGGAAGTGGAATCGACTCACGTCTGCTCGGAAGACATTTTGATGGATTTGAGAGTATAACAATGAAGTCACTGAGATACGATTGAGGGAACAGAAGAAGAAAGAGAAGAAACAGAGCCGGTGGTGAGTTGGCGAAAAATATAGGGAGGGACCGCAAAGCCAGTGTGGGGCAGCCAGAAGGAGGGGCAATAATGCTATTAGTAGCAGTGGTCACTTTTGAGACACTCATGGGTTGATGCCTGCATGCCTGCATGCCTAAATGCCTGATCACTGACTATGACAGTACTTTCTGCCTGAGGCCAGAACAAGTCTGAATCCCCAGTCGCCAAGTTGAGACTAGCGTCACACTAAGCCTATCTAGGAGCTTCCCCCCATCTCAGCTCCATCTGGCCAGCCTGGAACTATCGAGTGCCCTTGTTGTACTACTTTCATTATCGTATCTAGTTGCATTTTCCTTCTTCTATCCCAGCACATAACAGCTTTGTGTGTGGGACCTTCACCTCTGGTAGATGCAGGTCGACACACTAGTGGTTGCTGATAGTTCTTCTTTCAGAGGTTGAGTGTCTCTGATTGACTACTGAGCTCTCCCATCATGGCCGGAACTCGGCCAATGTCCAACCGTTGGACCCTACTGCTGTCCTTGGTGATCCTACTCGGATGCCTTGTCATCCCCGGAGGTAAGCCTATCCAATCACACTCCTACTGGTGAGGCTCTCCTTGACATCTAACAATGACGCATAGTCACCGTGAAACACGAGAACTTCAAGACATGTTCTCAATCGGGCTTCTGTAAGCGGAACAGAGCATTCGCCGACGATGCTGCCGCCCAAGGTTCCTCCTGGGCCTCCCCATACGAACTCGACTCATCCTCCATCCAGTTCAAGGATGGCCAATTGCACGGAACCATTCTCAAGTCCGTCTCCCCCAACGAGAAAGTCAAGCTGCCTCTCGTTGTCTCCTTCCTCGAGTCCGGCGCCGCCCGAGTTGTTGTCGATGAGGAAAAGCGCATGAACGGTGACATCCAGCTTCGACACGATAGCAAAGCACGCAAGGAACGCTACAATGAGGCAGAGAAATGGGTGTTGGTTGGTGGCCTGGAGTTGAGCAAAACCGCGACCTTGAGACCTGAAACCGAGTCTGGCTTTACCAGAGTCTTGTACGGTCCGGACAACCAGTTCGAGGCTGTCATCCGCCACGCCCCCTTTAGCGCCGACTTCAAGAGGGATGGCCAAACCCACGTTCAATTGAACAACAAGGGCTACCTTAACATGGAGCATTGGCGCCCTAAGGTAGAGGTCGAAGGCGAGGGCGAGCAGCAAACCCAGGAAGATGAAAGCACTTGGTGGGATGAGAGCTTTGGTGGAAACACGGACACCAAGCCCAGGGGTCCCGAGAGTGTGGGATTGGATATCACCTTCCCTGGCTACAAGCATGTTTTTGGAATTCCTGAGCATGCTGACTCTCTCTCCTTAAAGGAAACTCGGTAAGCTAGTCGCGCAGTGACATTTTCCATCTCGCAGAACTGACAGCGTCCCAGAGGTGGTGAAGGGAATCACGAAGAGCCCTACCGCATGTACAATGCGGATGTATTTGAGTACGAGCTGAGCAGTCCCATGACCTTGTATGGTGCTATTCCATTCATGCAGGCACATCGCAAGGACTCCACCGTCGGTGTCTTCTGGCTGAATGCTGCAGAGACCTGGGTGGACATTGTCAAGTCTACCTCATCTCCTAACCCTCTTGCTCTCGGCGTGGGCGCCACCACTGACACCCAGAGTCATTGGTTTTCGGAGTCCGGCCAGCTCGACGTGTTCGTTTTCCTTGGTCCTACCCCACAGGAAATCAGCAAGACCTATGGTGAACTCACCGGCTACACTCAGTTGCCTCAACATTTTGCCATTGCTTATCACCAGTGCCGCTGGAACTACATCACTGATGAGGATGTCAAGGAGGTCGATCGCAACTTTGACAAGTACCAGATCCCCTACGATGTCATCTGGCTGGACATCGAATATACCGATGACAGAAAGTATTTCACCTGGGATCCACTCAGTTTCCCCGATCCGATCAGCATGGAGGAGCAGCTCGATGAGTCGGAGCGCAAACTCGTCGTTATCATTGACCCGCACATCAAGAACCAGGACAAGTACAGCATCGTCCAAGAAATGAAGAGCAAAGACTTGGCCACTAAGAACAAGGACGGTGAGATCTACGACGGGTGGTGTTGGCCTGGCTCTTCTCACTGGATCGATACCTTCAACCCCGCCGCCATCAAATGGTGGGTCAGCTTATTCAAGTTTGACAAGTTCAAGGGGACGCTGTCCAATGTCTTCATTTGGAACGACATGAACGAGCCCTCGGTTTTCAACGGTCCCGAAACCACGATGCCCAAGGATAACCTTCATCATGGCAACTGGGAGCACCGTGACATCCATAACGTTCATGGAATCACCCTGGTCAATGCCACCTACGATGCCCTTCTAGAGCGCAAGAAGGGCGAGATCCGTCGGCCTTTCATTCTGACACGGTCATATTATGCTGGTGCTCAACGGATGTCTGCTATGTGGACGGGTGATAACCAGGCTACTTGGGAACACTTGGCCGCTTCCATCCCTATGGTTCTGAACAACGGCATTGCGGGCTTCCCCTTTGCCGGTGCTGACGTGGGCGGTTTCTTCCAGAACCCTAGCAAGGAGCTCTTGACCAGATGGTACCAAGCTGGTATTTGGTACCCCTTCTTCCGGGCCCACGCGCATATTGACACGCGCCGGAGAGAGCCGTATCTGATTGCCGAGCCACACCGGTCTATCATCTCCCAGGCTATCCGCCTGAGGTATCAGCTTCTCCCCGCCTGGTACACTGCCTTCCACGAAGCTTCCGTGAACGGAATGCCGATCGTGAGGCCGCAGTACTACGCTCACCCTTGGGATGAGGCTGGCTTTGCCATTGACGACCAGCTTTATCTCGGCTCCACCGGTCTTCTTGCTAAGCCTGTTGTCTCCGAGGAGGCCACCACGGCCGACATTTACCTTGCTGACGACGAAAAGTACTATGACTACTTTGACTACACCGTCTACCAGGGAGCCGGAAAGCGGCATACGGTGCCTGCTCCTATGGAGACTGTGCCATTGCTGATGCAGGGTGGCCATGTAATCCCCCGCAAGGACCGTCCTCGCCGCAGTAGCGCCTTGATGAGATGGGATCCGTACACTCTTGTTGTGGTCTTGGATAAGAACGGTCAAGCCGATGGCTCTCTCTACGTGGATGACGGTGAGACGTTCGACTATGAGCGTGGAGCTTATATCCACCGCCGTTTCCGCTTCCAGGAGTCTGCCCTGGTCTCGGAGGATGTTGGCACCAAGGGTCCTAAGACGGCCGAGTACTTGAAGACCATGGCCAACGTTCGTGTTGAGCGGGTGGTGGTAGTTGATCCTCCTAAGGAATGGCAGGGTAAGACCAGTGTGACTGTCATTGAGGATGGAGCTTCGGCGGCTTCGACAGCCTCTATGCAGTACCACAGCCAGCCCGATGGCAAGGCCGCATATGCGGTGGTGAAGAACCCCAATGTCGGCATTGGAAAGACATGGCGGATTGAGTTTTAGACTAGACGAGGATATGGATTGAGCACCCATACATATATGCAAGAGGCTCATATATCAAACATCAATGGTATTTAGTTATGACGCTTTCAGATGCCCTTACACCCTAGTTGAGCACCACCCGTAGTAGAATCGTAGTGAAGGGTGGAACCCCAACCCTGAAGAGGAAAAAGGGAAGGCAACTCCCGGAGTGGGGCTGAGTCAGCGCCAGGGACGTGGCCGCCGATCAATAAATTTAATTGATTTGAGTCCGAAATCTGGCTGCAAAAAAAAAAAAGAGGGAGGCCGCATTCGGGTCGATTTTGGCATTGAACTCTCTTCAGGACTGGTCGGCACGGAGTTCCTGGGCTTTCGGCATCCCCCTACTCTTGCCAATTCACTTTTGTGGAGGTTTCTCGTCTTTGCTCGCGGCCTGCGTTCTCATCCCGAATTCAGCATCTCCACGAGCTTCGCCCCTGACACCGCTGGTGCTCCGTCGCAGTCTCACTCCGGAAACCGCAAGCTCCGCCCGTTCACTGCCCCATCGTCGACGCAAAACCGAGCAGTCGCTCCTCAACCATCCTAACATCTTCCTATATTCGCTACACTCTTGTTACAAGGATAGCGACGGGTAATTTTAAGTTCACTATGTATCTTGTGTCGCAAGCCCTGGAATATGGGGCTCCCCTCTTGTACGTCTTCCGCTCCCATGGACGCATCGTAATGGAACGCTAACTGGCCGCTTGAAACCAACAGCCTCATCACCTCTCCAGTGACTTCCTATGCGGACCAGATCCTCAGTATTCACCGGTCGAGGAGCTCGGCTGGTTTCTCGCTGGACATCCCTTTGATTATGCTCGTCGCGTCCGTCTTGAAGTAAGGCCACCAGTCTAGGAATTGCGGCCCTTGGGGGTTTCGGCGTTAACAAATTTCGCTAGGATCTTCTACTGGTTCGGCGCTTACTACTCTCTTTCGCTCCTGATTCAGGCCGTTATCACTGTCGGGGTGCAGGTAGTCTTGTTGAAGGTTGCATTGGACAATCGGCCATCGCCCGGGTTGAAGAACAGCGTTGAGCATGTTCCTTTCAGCAGTGTGGACAATGGCGGTGGATTTGCGAGACCCTACGATTTCTGGCAATGGAAGAGCGCGAAACCGTACGTCCTAATCTTTTCTCTCCTTTCAGAGAGACCATTCTATTGCAGCGAATACTAACCCACAGTCGTCGATAGTTACTGGATGTTTTTGGCGTATTTCATCGGCGCGCTCACCTTCATCCAAGTCCTCCTGCCCCCAATTGCCTACTCGGAATCCTACATCGGTCTTCTTGGATACGTCGGTCTCGCCGTGGAAGCCACGCTGCCTCTTCCCCAGATTTTCAAGAACCATAAGTCCCGTTCGTGCGCAGGATTCCGGCTCTCGGTGCTCGCGGCTTGGATCCTCGGTGATCTCATGAAGCTGAGTTACTTCTTCTGCAGCCAGGAGGTGATCCCTTGGGCTTTCCGGATGTGTGGTCTCTTCCAGTGTGTTTGCGACCTGTACTTGGGCGTGCAGTTTTGGATGTACAGTGGTGCCTCGTTCCGGACTGCGGGCAGTCCTCGAGGACCTAGTGAGAGCTATAATGTGGAGGAGAAGGACATCCGAATGACTTGAACGAGATTAGATACGGCCGTGAGATTTCCGTTGCTTTCCGTTGGCGTTGTACATATGGCATAGCTAGACACGTCGGACCTTCAGCTTGGTTCGGCCTCCGGGGTCATCCGACCTGTTATCAATTGAATTAGAAATAATGTGATGTGATTAGACGCTCAATGAAGCTTATGCTGCCAATCGTTGTCCGTAACACCCTATCTAATGCAGTCTTCGCATGGTCATCAGTCAATTGGTGGCCGGCAAATGACGTGAGGAGAACTTCTTTTTTGCCGCGGGGTAACTTCAAGGGACCGGGAGGAACCCCACCAGCAACTACTCGTTAGTTCAACTCGACATTTAGACGCTCCATCTCCGCCTGTTCAGCAGAATGATCCTCGCTACTAGTATCTTCCAACCGACTCGTTTGTCTCCGTTACTCCACCCCGATTCACCATGGCTTCAGATCTAGAGACTATCCGCATTGGCTATGTGCCTGGTACGGTTCAACTTCCCTCCTTCAATATCCTTACACTGCCGTATACAATCATCTCAGTTGTGCAACATGGACAGCCCCCGGTTCTCCGAGCTCCGGACTATTTACTAGCAGCTAACAATGACCTTCCTTTCTAGAACATTATCTCACGCCTCTTCACCTGGCGCTGCGCTCCCCAGCCCTGGCTGCTCTCCCCTTCAAGATCTCTCTGATTCCCTTCCCCTCTGGAACAGGACACATGATCACTTCTCTGCGTGAGAAGGAAATCGATGTTGCCATTGGATTGACCGAAGGATGGGTTGCTGGTCTGGCTGATAAACAGCAGGCCCAGAAGGACCCCTCAGAGGGTGGCTACAAGATGATCGGGCACTGGGTCGATACGCCATTGCGCTGGGCCATCGTCACGGGTCGGGAGAGAGAAGATATCCACACCGTGACTGACCTCAAGGACAAGCGGGTTGGTGTCAGTCGCCTTGGAAGGTGAGGGAATAAACAACGCAACCTGCAGAACCAATGGCACGCCTTATACTGACGCGAAACAGTGGCTCCCACATCATGTCTTTCGTCCTCGCTCAGAAGCAAGGCTGGAAGCCTGACTCCCTGTCCACCGTGCCCCTGGGCCCCTTCGCTGCTCTCCGCAATGGAGTGACCGGATACGATTCTGGGCATCCAGAGCAAGAGCCGAAGCCCACGGCCGAGTTTTTCATGTGGGAACACTTCACCACGAAGCCGTATTTCCACCCCACTGAAGAGAAACCTCATCCCGCCTTGAAGAAGATCGGTGAGATCTACACTCCCTGGCCGTCTTGGATGATTGTGGCGTCTACTTCATCTTTCTCGGATTTGGAAGCGGATGGCAAGCTGCAACAGCTGCTCAAGCTCCTGGATCAGGGCATCAAGGACTTTGAAGCCGATACGGCTCAGGTCGTGAAGCTCTTGGGTACTGGAGAGCTGGGCTGTAACTATGGAGAGGAGGATGCTAAGGAGTGGCTCAAGGATGTCAAGTTCACAGGCACGACTCGGGGTGTGCAAAGGAAACTTGTTGAGGGTGTGGTAGATGTTCTCAAAGTGGCAGGAGTGATTGATAACAGCATGACCAACGATGAGGCCGTCTCAAGGGTCATTGGCATCCATCAATGAATGCTATGAAATAAACGGTCACCTCCCACCAATGGCGGCAGAACTATATTTTCTGTGTGCAATGTCACATAGCCGGGCACAAATTGTGTTTGTTATGTTTATTATGACATCTCGAATCACTGGCTTCGGCAGGATTTGGAGAACTTGACCAAGCAATCAACTCCTGAATGGTTCAATCAAGAGCATTTTCGACCGGCGATCTTAATATGCTCGTCATCCCTCCGATAACCTTGTACCCTCTGCTCCTGGCCTCACTCCGCGGCATATAGTCCGATCATTACCCAGGGCCGATTGGTAGACAGCATAGTATGCGGGATTATTTTGCTTTCGGCCAACTTTTGTTGGGCTGATTGACGGAAAACATGTACCGTGAGTGACTGATAAACCGGCCCGATAAGGACTACATGCCATCATCACCAGGACGACACCTGCATTCTTGGGGTCATAAGCATCTGGCAGGAGCCAAGAATAGCATTTTCATGACGATTTGCCCATTATGCATGATCTGACCGTCATGGTCAACGGATCGCCTTTGGGCATAGGAGCACTAGAAGTCAGAGCCACGACGGTCAGGAGATAATGGTCATCCAGTCTATGTATTTGATATCCTGAGAACCGCCATGTGCATCACACGGAATATCCCAGATTTCAGGGGCAGATGTAGTTGGCTACCTTCCACCACACGTACAACTGCCGGTTCTAGTTGTCGGTCCCGGAGAGGTGAAAGCCACGGCGATTGTCTCACTCAATACTTCGATTTTCGACCTACTCCTTGCAGTCTCACATGGCAGCTATAAAGTTTAATAATATATCCCTGTGGCCAAGCTGTCAAATGGGACTCGCATGGTATCCTAATGGTCATGTTAACGGTAATCGATGCGCAGCCGGGCAACAACGAACTGGCTAACAGACTTCATCCCAACCATCATTGAACCATTGACGCACCTGACTGACTGAGTACGCAAGCTACGATGTTCGTGGCCACGTAAGTGATCATGAGAAGAGGAGTTTGCCCTGGGTTCGGCTCATCACAAGCTGGGGTCCGCAAGAGGAAATGGCATTCCACGGGCCGCCCAAGTTATTGACAACAACCATCCTGGAATGTATCTCGGCCGGTTCCCTACCAATCATAGTTTCGATGAATTTCTGAAAAATATGCTCTGTCTTGCAGTCTAGCAGCGCCACTTGAATATGACAATCCGGGGGCCTGGGTTATTGGCTGGCTTCGTGAGAGAAGACTACTATCTGGAATGTTTGACCCCAGACAACGGATGACAAGGACTCGGTCCAAGCTTGTTTTTTCAACACAACACAACAGGCTTATGATTGGTCTGGAGAAGACATAAAAGCCGCGACATGAGCGCCTACAATCTGACTTCGTGATAGCAGCTCGACTCGAATTCGACAACCGTTCGGCACCGGCAATTTGGGCATCATCAACTGGTCGTCCGCCCCCCATCGTTGAGGTTAGAGACCGTTCACTCAACACACACTCCTTTGAGATTTCAGTCAATCCTTTAAAAAAAAGACACCAACTCTTTATTCCTTCCTTACACTATGACGCTCCTTAAAAACATTCTTGCCTTTTCGATGGGGCTGGCTTCTCTGGGAGGAGCATACGCCAAGCTCGACTTGTCTTCCTCTAACAACGTGGTTGTGTACTGGGGTGAGTATCCACCCTATGCCAGAGTCTGACCGTAGTTGACATGTCTGCGATTAGGCCAAAATTCCTATGCAGGAACCGGAAGCTTGGCCCAGCAGAACCTGGGCTATTACTGCGATGGTGAGTGTTCCGCAATCCTCGGAAGAAGAAGCTGTGCTGACTCGAAATTTAGACGGCAATATTGATGTAAGATCAAGCTTCGACTAGAGAAAATGCATATGAATGAGATGCTAACCACCGTCAAGGCCATTGTCCTTGCGTTTGTGATGAACGTCAACGGACCTGGAGGAGCACCAGCATACGACTTTTCGCTCACCAGTAAAAATTGCACGCTGTTCGAAGGCACCAACTTGCCGAATTGTCCCCAAATTGGGTATGCTTCATGTTCTCGGAACTGAAGGCAACACGGCTAATACAATGATGCAGTGCCGATATCACCACGTGCCAGAAGAAGGGGAAGACCATCATCCTGTCAATTGGCGGTGCGACGTACAGTGAAGGTGGATTCCAGTCGCAATCTGCTGCTCAATCCGGTGCCGACCTGATCTGGCAGACTTTCGGCCCCCAGCAGTCCAACTCGACGGCGCATCGGCCCTTTGGCAACGCATCGGTGGACGGGTTTGATCTCGATTTCGAGGCTACTGTGAATAACATGGCGCCGTTCGCGAACCGCCTTCGTCAACTGTTCGATGCCGAGCCCTCGAAACAATACTTTCTGACGGCAGCGCCGCAGTGCCCTTACCCCGACCTTGCCGACCAGCAGTTCCTCAACGGGCCGGTGTCAATGGATGCCGTCTGGGTTCAGTTCTACAACAACCCTTGCGGGTTGGGCTCATTTGTTCAGGGTCAAAGCACGCAGTCGACCTTCAACTTTGATCAGTGGGACAACTGGGCCAAGAACGTGTCTCAGAACCCCAATGTGCGAGTGATGCTCGGCGTTCCGGCCAATACCGGGGCAGCCGGCTCGGGCTATGTACCGGTCTCGCAACTGCAGTCGATCATTCAGTATACCAAGACCTTCAAGAGCTTTGGCGGCGTGATGATGTGGGATGTCACGCAGGCGTACGCCAACTCGGGCTTCTTGAGTGGCGTCCGCAGTGCTCTGGGGCAAACGGCCTCGCGGGTTTTTGGGACTCCATACCGGTACCCCCTGCACTTGTGGGGCCCTGAATCCAGCACTAACTGGAAGAAATGATTTTGTTTTGTGATACCCCTTGTAGGAGTGTATGTTTATGAGTGTGCATGAGGGATTAATATGAGGGAGGAGAGAAGTGGCGACAGCATGCAGGTGGCGTGGATGTGGTGTTCCACAGGGTTTGCTGGGATATAATCCTAGTGGAGCTGTATATAGTACCCTTGCGGTACATCTAGTATTGATTGCACCTATCTTATTTAACTAATCTAATGGTTAATATATTCTACTGAGCTGGTTTGAGGTAGTTTATGAGCTGCAGGCTGATTCTGGGTCGCGTGACTCTTAAACTGTCTGTCGTGGCATGTTTTGTTATGCATCCTCTTTGCTCCTCTCTTCCCTCCTCCTTCACCCACTACTATCTTCGTCTTCTCTGCCACGAACCCCTCCGACTTTAATTGCCTCGTGCAGGGTTCGGCACCATCACCAAGAAGCAAGCTTCTCCACGCCCCGCCCATCTGGCCCCTCTTCCACTTGCATGCACTATTGAAATCCCAGCCCTGCCGATCGAATTCCGCCGTCTTGGCAGCATCCAACCGGGATTTGAAGCCACGCAGTCATCG